ATCTTTTGTCTACAGAACCTGCTGATAGTATGTTTCTTCTTCAAAACACTTTTGAGCTACCAACTGTTATGTGCTTACCTAAGAGATTTTTGTGGGCTAATAAATATTAATATCTTCCCTTTGTTATATCGGAACCGTTTTCATTGAACGTGCTGTTAGTGTTGCCACTTAACTCGTGCATCTATTCAGATATTAGTTTCATGAGATCCCAATGGGGGTGGATTGTGAGATCTCACATTGGTTAGAGAGGAGAACGTAACATTCCTTATAAGGGTGTGAAAACCTCTCCCTAGTAACGCATTTTAAAAACCCTAAGGCTGATGGGGATATGTAACGAGCCAAAACAGACAATATCTGCTAGCGGTGGGTTTGATCTATTAGAAACGATACTAGAGCCAGACATTGGATAGTACGCCATTGAGGATGCTGGCCCCCCAACAAGGATGGATTGTGAGATCCCAGATTGGTTGGAGAGGAGAACGAAACATTTCTTATAAGGGTGTAGAAACCTTTCCCTACCAAACGTGTTTTAAAAACCGTGAGACTGACGACGATACGTAAAGGGCTTAAACGGACAATATCTGCTAGCGGTGGGCTTGAGCTATTACAAATGGTATCAGAGCTAGACACCCAACAGTGTGCCAACAAGGATGCTGGCCCCCAAGGATGCTGGCCCCCAAGGAGGGTGGATTGTGAGATTCCACATTAGTTGGAGAGGGGAACGAAGCATTACTTACAAGGGTGTAGAAACCTCTCCCTACCAAACACGTTTTAATAACTATGAGGCTGACGGCTATACGTAACGCGCAAAAACAGACAATATCTGCTAGCGGTAGGCGTGGGCTATTGAAGCCAGACACTAAACACTAGACAGTATGCGAGCGAGGACGTTAGGCTCTTAAGAAGGGTGGATTGTGAGATCCCACATTGGTTGAAGAGGGGAACAGAGCATTTCTCATTATGGTGTAGAAATCTCTCCCCACCAGATAAAATTTGTGAGGCTAACAGTGATACGTAACACGCTAAAGCTGACAATATTTGTTAGAAATGAGCTTAGGCCGGGTGTTTTTCATTCTTCTCCAGTTTAAGTAACTCTAGTATCATTCAACAGTTAAACTAGGTATCGGAGGCTTCAGTATGGGTGCTGCAGCCGCTATTTACTCCGCGTCGTGCCGTGTTCTTGGCCAATATGGAAATGGAAACCTATACCCCATTAACCTTAGAGCAGTTGTTGGCCTCAGCGGCTGGCTTCCATGTTCAAGGTTTGATATCTATTGAAAGCCTATATAGATCTTTGTTGTCAAGAACACATTTTTTAGCAGCCATTTTTTGTTGCAGATCTTTGAGGAACCGGATCACCGTGTCGCATGAAGCTGCAAGGCGTGCTGCGTCTCTGCCCATGTTACTCTGTCACGGTTCAGGTAACTTATAACATAAATTTGTTCAAGCTACGAATCAACCTCATATTACAAGCCGTTTGTTACAGGTGATGATGTCGTTGCATACAAACACGGGGAGAAATCTGCCCAAACTTTAAGTTCAGCTGGTTTTCGTAATCTAACGTTTAAAACCTACAACGGGTGTGTTCTTATCTCGACTTTCAATGCTTCTCGCTTTATATCTCTGCTATTAAAAATGGGATGTTGCAATGCAGGCTGGGCCATTACACCATTCCTGAGGAGATGGATGTTGTTTGTAATTGGCTGACAGTAATTCTGGAGCTCGATGGCTTACGATTGGTCGACCGCTGAAGTCGTCGGAGAAAAGTATGGCGACGACGAAGACCATTTGAGGTCTGTAGTTCTTTGATTTTGGTTGGTTCACTAGTAAAGAATGAGGCATTTGGCTTTGTGGTTTTAGGCTAAGTTTGGGGGTATACAAATCTGAGAAAATTTTCAATGTTGTTGTAATCTAAATATAAACCCTTTTCTAAATTTGGATGTAACATGTAAGCTTCTGCTACTTATAACTCCTGATCTTGCTTTTTATTTTTATTTTTTATATATATTTTATTTTATTTTATCATCTAAAATAAAATATAAATTTAATTTAAAGAATTAAAATATAAAATCTTTTCCTGGCTTGCTTTCTATTTTAATTTTTATCTCTACTAAATTTATAATTTATTTTTGTAGAATTGGAGCAGAAATTTACCGTAGGGGATTTTCTCTCATTTTTAATATATATATATATATATATTTAAAAAATATACGCGAAAAAGAGGTAAAAGATAATAATAAATCTAATAATATTTCAATGTTCAACAAATTTTAATATTATAATATAGTGTTTTACATTATTTTATATATATATAAAATAAGTTAGTTTGGTAGGTTAATTCACTCATTTTCTTTTATTATTATTATTATTATATTGGAGATTATTACGTCAGCTTACAATGGTGCTGAAACATACATGGGCCGAATGTAGCTTTTTGGGCTGGTGAGGCTTAAAATTAAATGGGCCAAGACCAACAGCCATTATCAATAAACTAAACTGAAAATTTCGTGGCCCAATGGGCTGGAACATACATGGGCCGAATGTAGCTTTTTGGGCTGGTGAGGCTTAAAATTAAATGGGCCAAGACCAACAGCCATTATCAATAAACTAAACTGAAAATTTCGTGGCCCAATGGGCTGGAACATACATGGGCCGAATGTAGCTTTTTGGGCTGGTGAGGCTTAAAATTAAATGGGCCAAGACCAACAGCCATTATCAATAAACTAAACTGAAAATTTCGTGGCCCAATGGGCTGGAACATACATGGGCCGAATGCTAGCCTTTTGGGCTAGTGAGGCTTAAACTAAAATGGGCCGAGACCAACAGCCATCATCAATCAACTAAACTGAAAATTTCGTGGCCCAATGGGCTGAAACATATATGGGCCGAGTTTAACCTTTTGGGCTGGTGAGGCTTAAAATAAAATGGGCCGAGACCAACAGCCATCATCAATCAACTAAACTGAATTTTCGTGGCCCAATGGGCTGAAACATATATGGGCCGAGTTTAACCTTTTGGGCTGGTAAGGCTTAAAATAAAATGGGCCGAGACCAACAGCCATCATCAATCAACTAAACTGAAAATTTGGTGGCCCAATGGAAAAACATTCCACGGCTCAATTAAAGCTGCGTAATCTTTTCTTTTATTTCTCATAATTTTTTTTTTTATAAAATAATAAGGCTGCAAATAAATAACATATTGTGTGAATTTTAAAATGATTTTTTTTAAAAAAAATTAAATATTAAAAGCTGGATATTAATTATTAGGAAGTCTTTATAGGGGGAATGAATAAATAGTTGGGGACTTTGAGGGCATAATGTAAAAGATTTTGGAGGACTAAAAAGTAAAAGAAAACACGTAACTTTTATCATTGTCATGACGTTTTACTCCCATTCCCCTCTCACGTGCACACACCCCAACCCCCTATTTACCCTAAACTCTTTTACCATTCTATTTTTACTTTTAACCGCACCTTCAATTCATCATGAACTTCCATTTGTTATTGCATTTTTAATTTTTTTGTAAATTAAACAAAATAATAATAATTAAAGGGTGTGGTGGTTATGCATGGAAGCGCTTCTCCCAAGAAGAGAATCGAATCAGTACTCTTCTCCCTAATGCCTTTATTTTTGCTTTTTTACACTTTGCTTCAGCCTTCCTCCTTAGTCCTTTACCCTTCCCCAAGAACAACACCCAAAACAAGATGAACTATAGCGTTAAAACATTCATATAATTCAATTTAAAGTGACCCATTAGATTAAATGATTGAATTAATTGTTGTTCGAGGAATAATATTGGGTTCCAATTTTTGACATTTGATCGAGTGTGATGTTCGAGTAACAGCAAAGAGATGCATGAATGAACTAATACTAAATTTGAATAACAATATGATGATTAAGAAATGCTTAAAATAAGTGAAAGTTGCTACTTTTACTAATAACATGCATATTTTTTTATGGCTTAATCGTAGGAACGTGTTTAAATTATATGTTGGATGATCCCCTACAAGTTTTTATAGGAAACATGTGAGACGTGGGATAATGATGTTTGAACTCGTAGGTTACATTGATCATTTGTTGCCATATCACTGTGGGATGTGGATTTGGTCTCATGAGGTTCATATCAATGTGGGTTAGTAGGATTGGGTTGTGTTAGATCCTACATCGATTGAGGAGAAGAACGAAACATACTTTATAAGGATGGGGAAACCTCTCACTAACATACATGTTTTAAAAACTTTGAGGGGAAGCCTTAAAGTCCAAACATGACCATATTTGCTAGCGGTGAGCTTGAATTATTACAAATGGTATCAGAGTCAAACACCAAACTGTGCGCCAACGAGGATATTGGGCCCCAAAGGAGGGTGGATTGTGAAATCCTACCTCGATTGGAGAGAACAACGTTCAGACTGGAGAGAGGAGCCTGAAGGGGGTGGATTGTGAGATCTCATCTCGATTGGAGAAAGGTTGCAAAACGACTCTTCCACCCAACTAAAAGAATGTCAACTTTCAAACCGACCCGAATTTTTAACTTTTCAAAAATTCAACCCAACGCTACATTTATGGTCTAAGTTGGATAGTTATTGGTTGGTCGGAGTATCTGATCACACAAATATCTGAGTAATCTAAATGGACCAAAAGGTATTTTTTATAAAAAAAAAAAAAAAAAAAAAAAAAAANTGAAATCCTACCTCGATTGGAGAGAACAACGTTCAGACTGGAGAGAGGAGCCTGAAGGGGGTGGATTGTGAGATCTCATCTCGATTGGAGAAAGGTTGCAAAACGACTCTTCCACCCAACTAAAAGAATGTCAACTTTCAAACCGACCCGAATTTTTAACTTTTCAAAAATTCAACCCAACGCTACATTTATGGTCTAAGTTGGATAGTTATTGGTTGGTCGGAGTATCTGATCACACAAATATCTGAGTAATCTAAATGGACCAAAAGGTATTTTTTATAAAAAAAAAAAAAAAAAAAAAACGAGTTTAGCGGTATAAAAACCACCACCACGGGCTGTACCACCAGAGAAACGTGATCGTTCAGCCCATTAAAACCACCACTACTTCACGCTTAAGGTAAGCTTTCGGTTACTTCAAAAGAAAGAAAAAAATAACCATTTTTAATTGGGACTAAATATTTCAAAATAATCACAATTACAGGATGAGCCGCCCGGGAGATTGGAATTGCAGGTCATGCAACCATCTCAACTTCCAACGGAGGGACTCCTGCCACCGATGTGGCGACCCTAGGGCTGACTTCGGCGGCGGTGGATACGGCGGTGGAAGAGGTGGTTCTTCCTCGTTTGGGTTCACCACCGGCCCCGACGTCCGCCCTGGCGATTGGTACTGCGCTGTCGCTAACTGCGGCGCTCATAACTTCGCTAGCCGCTCTATCTGCTTCAAGTGCGGCGCCTCCAAGGATGAAGCTTCCGCCGCCGCCTACGACGGCGATTTGTCCCGAATCAGAGGCTTTAACTTCGGCGGTGCCTCCAACCGCCCTGGATGGAAATCTGGTGATTGGATTTGTGCCAGGTAGGATTTCCAATATTTCCATAAATTATTCAATATTTTCTTCCCCAATTTCCATTTTAGTAAATAGACATTTATGTCTTTTTTTTAAAAAAACTTTAAAATTCTCTATTTTAATTCTTTCATCTTTCAAAAATAATTAAATTTGATTATTATTATCAATTTATTGCTTTTATTTAATAATTTGAAATGTACGAAAGGGCAGATCCGATTGCAACGAGCATAACTTTGCAAGTCGAAGGGAATGCTTCAGATGCAATGCGCCGAGGGATTCCAACAGCAAGTCACCATACTCGTAGAGGTAATTAATTAATTTAATTACCATATTCCTATTATTTTTTATTTATTTTATATTAAAATTACTAATAAATGGGATTTAATTAATTATTGTTATTTTGGGAATATTTTGCATTTTTTCAGGTGGTGGAAATGGAAGGAATAAACTCTAGCTAGAAAGAAGAGAAGCGTTTCTCATGGTACCTGGACGTCGTCGTTTTGTATTTTTTTTTATTTTAATTTCAAAAGTAGCTTAATTTCTGCATGCATGCAGAAAGGAGTTTAATGAGGCCCCTTCCCTTTGTATCCAATTTTCTAATTTCATATTACTACCCATCTTTTATATGTTATTAATTGGTAGCTTCACTTTATGTTATATGATTGCCTCAAAATAATAATTTACGTACTTTAATAAAAAAGCGGATAATAATAAATCACTTTACTGTTTGATTCCGTTCTCGAAAAATGTTGTTTTGTCTAACAAGAGGTGGCATTGAATAATCAGAATTTGCTCGAAATCCTGTAAATGAAGACAAAACATAAATAACTCCAAACTTAAGAGTGCTTGATTTGAAACGGTTAGCAGATTTGCTGAACGTTTTTAAATGAATTATGTAAGTGAAGACAAAATATGGTAAGAAGACTCGGGTTCATATGTGGATATGGACAATTTTTAGAAACAATTCAAGACAAATAGGTAATTTTGGATGATGAAAGTTCCACATCCGCTAATTTAGGGGATGATCATGAGTTTATAAACAAAGAATACTTTCTCCATTGGTATGAAGCCTTTTGGGGAAGCACAAAACAAACCCATGAAAGCTTGTGCTCAAAGTGGACAATATCATACTATTGTGGGAGCCGTGTTCGTCTAACAGGTAACGTGACTGTTAGATGAATGTCGAGATTATCGAGTGCCGAATGTAAAATTTTACGAGTTTTAAAACACATGTCTTTTAGGGAGAGGTTTCCACACATTTGAGGGATTTCACAATCCACCCCCTTTGGGGACAGCGTTCTGGCTAACACACCATTTGGTGTCTGACTCTGATACCATGTATAACGAGCCAAAGTAGACAATATTTGCTAACGGTGGGCTTGAGCTGTTACAAATGGTATCAAAGCCAGATATCAAGTGGTTAGGGATTGCGGTGCATTACTTACAAGGAGGTGGATGGTGAAATCCCATGTCGGTTGGAGAGGGGAACGAAACATTACTTATAAGGGTGTGAAAACACATTTTAAAATTATGAGGTTGAAGACGAGAGTTTGAATTAATGAACGAGGTTCACAGGTTCACTTAGAGTTTTTAAAACAAAAATGAAAAACAAAAGAGGATAGAATTTAATCTGACCTAAACGGATTCGACCAACCCAATCCAATCCAATCCGATAGATTTTGTTTTTGGTTCTAGAAATTGGACATAGGATTCCATAAGCTTTCGTATTGGTTGCTCCCTTCATTGACCTTTTGGAGAGTTCATGAATTGGTCAAAAAGTGGTAAGAATAAACATTTATTAGTGTCTGCCTACTACCCTCCATTACATAGCTTTTACCAAAGAATCACTTTAACACTGAGCTTTATGTTACTTCATGCATATGCCTTAGCTCGCCTTTAATTATTATTTTTAGTACGTACCCTCGCATAATCATGCAATCCAATTAGTTTTAATTTCTCGAGTTTTTATTCTATAATTATTTTTTCATTTATAACCCCTCGAGAGAAATGAAATCTAACATGTGCACTGACTTCAGTTGTTTCGATCGAGGATAATTTCGAAATTTGAAAAATTTCGAATTAATGTCGAATTATTGAATGAGTAGCTTGTATGAAATATTGTATTTGATAAATGTGGAGGGTTTGGAAAAAAATATATATATAACTTTTTTACTTTTATAAAATAAAAATATAAAGAAATCTTTGTTGGAAAAATCTTATCCGTTCAATCTAACAAAGACAAGACATTGTAAAGAAGAGCTCGTTAAAGAACGAGGTAGAGAAACTCTTTAATCATGTGCTTAAATGATGCCAAGTAGGCCCAAAAATACACTATCAAAATCAGAGATGGATGGGATATTGCTACTAATATATTAAACACTTCTATGAATGATTAGATAGTTCGATAGTTCGGTCTTATCTAAACTTGAACTGATTTTGTATTTAGTTTCACTTAAATGCGACCCTTTGTGAGCTATTTTTATAACTTAAATACGGTAAGTTTTGGAATTCTTGCACGATTTTCATAGATTGAGAAATTCATTTAATTTGAACAAAAAAACACAGTTAACCAAAGAGTTAAGACAACAAAAGTCGATCACATCTAAACATCATTCTAGCAATATGACAAACATCTAACATCGGAACATGACATTTTGTCTATTTTTATGTTATGATTCTTTTCAGCATGCATTTTTAATGATCTCGGGATCTTGTCATATTATTTTCTTTCAAATAATATCAACAATCTCTGTATACTAAATCATCATATTAATTTTAAGAGAGGGCGGAGAACGAAAATTAATAAAAACTTTGTTATCGAAATATTGAAAATCAAAATGGGTCAAACATTATAAAGTTTTCTTCCCATTCCCTTTATTTTTAGCCATATGAATATAGGAGCATTTATAAAGCTCTTTTTTACTAAAGTATTTTGCTTCTCCCAACTCCTTTTCTTTTCTTTATCGATAGTACACTAAATCACATTATGAAAAATGTATCTTTCTAGAGCTCTAATTATTAATGCATGCATGTCTCAGATTCCTTTAATTTTTCTAAGGCACACAAAAAAGTGACTTTGGCTGCTCATCTCTATTCTCTTTTTATTTTCCAACGATTTACATTTGAAAAAGAATTCATGGGCTTGGTTTACTTTTTGTATTTTCTTTTTATCCAATAAAAGATATTAATAAAATCTCGAGAAAAAAAATTAAAATATTAATTTTATTCACAAAATTTAAGAAACACGTAAGCCATTAAATTTTCATCTTTAAAAAGCAATATTTTTTCATCCTTTTTATAAATAATGGTGGACCATACATATTTTTTTTAATTCATTTTGATAATGATGAAAAGAAAATATTTTTTTAGAAGTATTGGAAATCGATAGGTAAGTATCTTCCTATATATATATATATATATCACAATTAAATTTATAACAGCAACTATACCCTAAACCATAACTAAAACCAACAAAGAGATATCCAATTCCACAGCAAGCTAGTAGTATTATGCACAAAGAGATGGTATGACAAAGCACAATCCATCTAGGGGAGATATAATGACTCTGAGCTTCTTCTCTAAACAATATCACCTGTATTAGTGTTGTGATGCATTATAGACCATATAAAAATTCTGCATTTCTTTGGAGTATCCAATGCAAATCTATGACCATTCTTAAGAAAATAGTTCAATCTTGGCTAAAACTACGTGAAAAAGTGGATAATAAAGAAAATTTATATGTAGACGGTAAGAAAAATTAGTAAATGGTTATCACAAACTCCAAAAAGTAATCGAAAACATTAAGGTAATATTGTAACTATTAACTATTAACTATTTAAATTATCGTCCAAATTGGATTTTTTAAAAAATTATTTTTTACCGTTCAATCTCGTCAATGGTTCGTCTTTTCCAACCCAATAATTGGTGAACTTGACTAAAGTTCTCTTTCTGATTCATACAATTGAACCAAATGGATGCAGATATACCTATTCAAGTTGGGAAGTCAGGAAGTGCTGGAAAGAATATCTGGGAAGAAAAGTGTATGCATATCACGACACAACTAATAGATCCAGAAAACGAGAATTACATGCCTAAAAAATCTTTGGATTGGTCAGGAGTAAGAATCAAACATAAAACCAGTAGAAGGAAATTTCATTCCGACTCACTTAAGCTTAGATTTTGATGAGCTTTGAAGAGGCTTTGCAATTGGTCGAGCAGGGGCACTTCTAGCTACCTTCTTAAGATCATACTTGACCGAAGAGAAAGCACAGATCATGGCAATAATCATTGTAGGATAAACATAAACAGCTTTGGCAGGATCTGTGTTCACAGGTTTTCCGAGGATTCCTTCCTTAACAAGACCCCAAATTACCAAGAGACTTCCAAACATGCTCATCCTTCCGGGCTTCAAAAGACCCACAAAGGCTCCAGCCACTGAAAAATAGCTTCCGGCAAGAACCTGGGTAGAAGGAGAAGTCATCTGTCTGAGTAACTAGTTATTAGTTTACCAGTTGATTCAAAGTATTACCGAGCCCTCTATGAAGAAAAGTAACAGGAAGGGTTTGAAAGGGGTTCTGTTTTTTTTTTTTTCAAGGGCAAAGGTGGAATACTTTTATTCATCTGTGAAATGATTGGTTCATCGGTTTAAACATTTTCTTAACCAGAAACGCAATAAATATTCTACATACATGTACGTATGATGCAAAGAAATTCTCAATAGGAGTTTAGGAGGGATAAGGAATGTGAATGTAGGGGGTTAGACTCTATGGCACTTTTTGTGTGAAGTCTCAATAGGAGTTTAGGAGGGATAAGGAATTCTCAAGTTATCCCTTAGCAATGCACCTGGTCGTAATATGTCATGTCCGAGGTCTTGAAGGAGAAATTGCAGTAAGAGCAGCAATGTATGACAACAACTTGGAAAGCTACTAGAAGTCCAATTTGCAGTCAACTACCAAATGCATCTTAAAGTTAAAACCAAATCTGCAAGAATCTCTGGTTACGCATCCAAATCCTAAGTTGGCTCCTAGATTCATTGGTCCAGTTTAGGTCAATGAGAATATTCGCTCAGTAGCTTATCATCTGTTTTTTGCAAACATAGTCTTTCACCCAGTTTTCATGTTTCCCAATTATGAAAGGATGTTGGAAAACCTTCTCCAGAGTTTTCAGCAAGTCGCTCTTCTTATATAGTATTGGTGGGGAAGACAACTGAGGCATTGGGAACTTCACAATCAGACCCAAAAGTCATGGAGGTTCTAATTTGACGGGAACATGCATCTACAGTGGATGCAACAATGGTACGTTTCTCTGCCTTTGCAATGCAAATACACAATTCCTACTTCGTCTCTTATTTGGGCTGTGGGTGGTGCAAGCTCCCGATAGTATAGTAAGTAATCATAGGAGAGTAAGGGATCGGCTTAGAGTTTAGCATGTATGTATGTAGTGGGACCAACAGTAACTACTTAGTTGGATTGACAGAAAGGGTATGCAATCAGAGAGCGTCTAGAATATGCACAACAAATGGGCACTTTTTGGGTAAAATCTTGGTGTTTAGGAGGGGGTAAGGAGCTCTTGAATTCTCCCTTAGCTATGTGCTTCTCTATGTGAATGAATAAAGGAGTTCTATCAGATTCCCATATGATTCCCAAAAAGGAAACTCGAGGTCCCCAGGAAGTGTATTTGTTAGCTAACCATGTTGAGAAAATTAAAAATAACCAGTCATTTCTCGGACAAAAATAAGGGCTTGAATCCAAGATAGACCCATAATAGATCTAAATCTACAAATTGAAATGAAAAATAAACAAGGAGGTTAAGCAAAGGAACCTCTAAGCGTTGAAGATCAGTCATAGCAGAGGCTTCCTTGATATTGGTCAAGTTATAGACGTCTAACAAGCTACTCCAGCTGGGCACCGTCAAATTCATGACAAGGCCATTCACAATTGCTCCAGGATAGAGAAGTGCCTTAACTACGGGTGCAGGAAAGACTTCACTTGCAATCAACTGGGATGAAGTCACGTGCAAAGGGGTTGTACACATGCCAGATCTGCATGGGACCCTGAGAGGACATGGATTTTAATTATGTAATGCTCATATACATCGTACACTAAAGGCTACATGGATTTTCGAGATTTGCAGAAAAGAAATATCGTATTGTCAAGCCAAGAGTCATAACTCAAAAAACTGGAAAGTTGTTGTATAGAATGTTGGAAGGAATATATAGATAATAACCAATGAAGCAAAGAGTATAATAAAGCAAGAACATCCAGCCATTCATTTTCTTTTTTGCCACAAGGTTTATTTCTAGATTCGTAAGCATATCAGCAAACAAACATATTAAGCAGTTTCCCTTACCATATCCAGAGGACATGGGGATGAAAGTGATACTAAGAGGAGTTAAAAAAAATCAACAGTCATTGATATACGGATAATGAGAAATTTTCAAACAGAAGCCAAATACTACATATTGATTCTAATGAGGTCCATTCTTTCAACAGAAATTCCATTAATTCCCACGCAGAGGAATCACTTGCAATATGCAAATCATTAAACGAAGATACAATCATGAAACCAAGCAACTAAAATGCATACATGAAGATTTAATTAAAAAAGAAATGGCAACAATTAAATCAATTCAACCTTTTCATCCCATTCTCCAGCACTCCCCTCCGGTGTGTCCTCGAACATTAGTTTTAATTCACAAAAAAAAAAAAAAAAACAACACATAAACTACTAACATGGGCAGGAAGTGATTTAAACCCTAATCTCCTGCTCTAACATCACGTTAAATGACAGTCAACTGTTAAGCTATGGAAATTCAATCTTCACAGATCGTTTGTTTCTGAGAATCAGATATTCAAACACAGGCAAAGTCCGATCAAATAGGACAGAAATACAACGGAAACAAAAAGATCAACAAAGAGAAAACAGCAGAGTGACAGTTACAAGCCACGACTCTCACATAATCCTCAAAATTTTAACGCTAACCGCAGAGAGTAAACTAACTAAAGAGGATCAGTGCTAAACAGTTCCTACCATCCGAGTAACTAAATCATATGAACTGTCGAAGTGCAAAAAAAGGTAAAGAAACTGAAAACATACCTGAAGAGCGGGATCTGGAGAATGATGAGGAAGAAATAGATGCGAGAAGCAATTGACGAAAGATTTCTGATCCAACTTTTAGATGCTGTTGATGACGACGATTGCGTGGATGTTACCATTGTTGACACCACGAGAAAAAAAAAAGGTCAGACGAGGGAGATAGAAGAAAGAGGAACTGATAATTTCGGTTTGCAGGATCCAAGTTTCAAAGGGTCGAATGGGAAACAGCTGAGAGAATGTTGAATGGGCTGGGCCTCTGTAGATCGGGCCCATCTTCTTAATAATGGGCCTAATCCCAAACCTTCAGCAGCCTTTCAACAAAGCCCAAGCCCAAAACGAAAATTTGGTGAGAAGTTACATGAATAGCCTTGATTCATTTTATTTAATTATTTATTTTGCATAAAATAGATAATATTAAATTATAAATAAAAATAATTAAAATTATTATTAAAAGAATTTTCAATTAAATACTAAAATGTGTCTGTCATTTTTACTTTTCCGACAGCCAACAAAAACCTTTAAGAATTTAAATACAAAACATTAATTTCGTGAAGGTTAAAATCGACTATTCATATAAACTAAATTGATTTATTTACTTTTTTTTTCTCTTTAAAATAGCATAATTAATTTTCCATTTCGAAAATCAAACACGAAAATAATTAACTTTTAAAGAGTACGGAATCCTTCTGCCGATGTCAGCGGATGGAGTCGGGGAGTAGTGGTCCCAACTATGATGTCCACCCCATCTTCCAATCCTGGCCGCCTGATCCCAGATCCCATCCAACGGCCTACAAACCTAAACGCTTCCTTCAATAACACCTTTGATCTCCTCAACTTCTCATGGCCAAGACGTGTCCACGTTCCTCTATTATAAACCGTCGGATCAAAATGAATTTAACGGCGTGAATTCCTCCGTCCTCGCTTTCTCAGTTAATTTTCGGAATTCGGCTGCAATGTCCCGCTCTTTCTTTTCTCTCTCTCTTTTCTGGAAAATATCTGAATAAGGGAAAAGGAATTTATCCAGCTGCGTCTCTGTTTGCTTCAAAGCTTTTGTTTGACGAAGAAATGCAGGAGCCGGCGACGAGTTCCGCCGCCGCTAGTTCCTTGCCTTCGAGCAGCGAGAGGTCGTCCAGTTCGGCTCTTCACCTCGAAGTCAAAGAAGGTTAATCCAGGAGTTTCTTCATTTGATTAATCCTGAAATCTGATCGTTCTTTTCCTTCGTTTATCTGATTGGGGATTGATCTCTTAGTTAGTTATTTACTTAGAGATTTTTCGAAGTTTTGAATGAATTAGATGTTTAGTGAAGACTGAATTGAGTGGAAATTTAGGTATGGAGAGCGATGAAGAGATCCGGAGAGTGCCGGATATGGTTGGTGAATCAGCCGGAACATCGGCCTCCGGGAGGGACACCGGTTCAGTCGCCGGTCCGGACCGGGTTCAGGTGTCTCGGGATGGTCAAAGGAAGAGAGGGAGAAGTCCAGCTGACAAAGAGAGCAAGAGACTGAAGAGGTTAGCGAAATGTTTGCCATTTTGATATTGTCCGTTTTTTTAGGGTTAAATTACACATTTGAATCTATGAGCTTGATTAATTTTACCATCAGGTCCTTCAATCTAATGAAATTTCAAATTTCATAATTAATTTTAGTGTTCAAATCCAGAGATTCAGATCTTATGATCTCTAGGGGATGGGGAAGCGCCCCCGCCCCGTCCCCAGAAATTTTCTCTTACTTCATTGATTGTTGAAGCTATTTTTGTTGATTTTGAGTAAAGATTACTGAGGAATAGAGTATCGGCACAGCAAGCGAGGGAGAGAAAAAAGGCGTATTTGAATGATTTAGAGGTAAAGGTGAAGGATTTGGAGAAGAAGAACTTGGAGCTTGAAGAAAGGCTTTCCACTTTACAAAATGAGAATCAAATGCTTAGACAAGTACGTTTAATTCATTTCTGTTTCATAATTATAATTTTTATTTGAATCCGTTGGCCCATAAAGGAATGTCGGCGCGTTTTGATTGAAACTTGTAGATATTGAAGAACACAACGACAAGTCGGAGAAGTGGGGAATGAGAATCGTGATGGAAGAAGAAAAGGCCAAAGTATTGAAAGTGAGAGGGAGAGTATTTTGTTACTGAACAAATATGATAAATTCCTACCAAACTTTGGTAATTTATCCTTCCATTGATTTTTTCTTAACTTTCTTCTGGGTTTCTTATCTTTTCTCTTCCCATTTGAAGAAAAAGTAGCTAATTTGCTCTTAATGAGTTAGATTGACAGAATGTTAAACAGTTTGCCGGTATAAGCTCGAGACAATGAACTATGAACTTGAGATACAAAACCCTTCAAGGATGATCGTAGATGATAGATCAAACCGAATAAGATTGACAGAATGTTAAAAGTTTGTCTGTATAAGCTTGAGACGATGAACTATGAACTCAAGATACAAAACCCTTTAAGGATGATCGTAGATGATAGATCAGAGTAAGACTGACCGAATGTTAGAAGTTTGTCTGTATAAGCTCGAGACGACGAACTATGAACTCGAGATACAAAACCCTTTAAGGATGATTGTAGATAATAGATCAAATAGAGTAAGATTGACAGAATATTAAACAGTTAGACTGTATAAGCTTGAGATGACGAACTATGAACTCGAGATACAAAACCCTTTAAGGATGATCGTAGATGATAGATCAAAACTGAGTAAGACTGACCAAATGTTAGAAGTTTGTCTGTATAAGCTCGAGATAAAAAACCCTTTCTCTAAGATGGAGCTTGACCAACCCAGTAACTTTTATCTTAAGAAGAAAAGCTGCCTTTCTCTAAGATGGGTCATAGCAATGGCTTGTTAACATTATTAACTAACTGCTTATCCATTAAGAGATCATCCAAATAAATTCAGCTCTAGAAACTAAACCTTAGCAAAACACCATAAGTTTATGTTGAAAAATGGTGAAAAGAACAAAAAACACGAACAGAAAACAAAACTGTGGTTCCTATCTCTACTCTTCTTGGTCGTTTTCAATAAGGATCCTCTTGCAGGCCTCATAACACATGAAAGAAATCCCAGCAGCAGGTACCAACTTCATACAGCTGGGGCCTAACCCTTTGTATAAGCCCGGAATGCCTTCTTGCTCAAATATACTAACCAGTGCATGGATGACATTCTTATAGACCTGTCTTCCACTTAGGGCTCCCACCTGCATGTGCTTGCGTGCAACCTCGAGTGGGAATGTAACACTGCTCGAGAAGGCACCAGCCGCAGAGCCAATCAAAAGGGTTTCGATGTTTCCAATCCTCTCTTGCTTGAACACTTTCCTATAGGCCTTTCTTAATGTGTCGTATGCAAAGTAATTAGTTGCAGAATATGGAATTACTCCAATCAGACTAGGAGCAAGGCCTCTGTAGAGTTCAGCAGGCCCTTCTTCTCTAAGTATCTTTAGAAATGCATTGAATAGACCATCGTATACGTCTCTCTGCAACATTCATAAAGCTCTATATACCATTTTCTCATACCAAAAAGGATGAACAGTTGCTTATATGTTAAGTTTAGCAAGTACCTGTATGGTCAATCGGGTCTTGAGTAGCTCTAGAGGATATGTGCAGATTGTTGAGCTAACTCCTGCACATGCCCCAGCAAGAAATGAGGCTGATATTGGAAGTTTTGGTGGCTCACCAGGTTTAGATGACAGATTCTTGTTGACTGTGTCGTACACAAAGAGCTGCACATGGAGTGATGAAGTAAGTGTTATGAATAACGAGTCTACACAATACACAATAGTATGATATTGTCCACTTTGAGTATAAGCTCTCGTGGCTTTCCTCAAAAGGTCTTACTTATACCAACAAAAGTGTATTCCTTACAAACCCATGATCATTCCCTAAATTAGCCAAGACTCCCTCCCAACGATCCTCGACAAGTAAGTTTCAAGAATAAGCATTCAAGATACAAAATGAGTACCTTAGAAGCCACAAAAACAAGCCATAAGCAACAGATAAAGCCACAAAAACAACAGATAAGGATACAAAATCCAGCTATTAACCCCCACCCACCAAAGACTAAGCATATCAGAGAGATTACAATACCTCTATGGCCTTGCTAGGAGCAACACGAATGACGTTAACAAAATTTCCCCTAAACAGCCCCTTCCACCCATCAGTTTGCATGATATTATGAAACACTTCTGTGGTAGAATTTCCACTACTCCCCACCATTAGATGTGTCCTTATGGTCTCTAATGGCGCCACGCATGTCCTTGACACAGCCCCAGCAACAGCCCCACTAATGAGCCTCCTAAGTGAAGGATTCGCAACTTTAACTTTCAATCTAAGGCCACCCTTCTTCTTCTTCACAACCCCTTCCTCTCCATCAGCCCCAGGAATTCGAAACCCCTCCACCCAAGATAAGTACTTCATGTGAAGTTTATTGCCGCCATTGTTGCGGGGATTGGAAGAATCTGGAGAAACTCCGAAGCCCACTCCCATCTGCCCCACGCTTGCGAACAAGCCACCAGGTAGAACAGTTTCATCCTGAAATCGACATTGAGATCCCAAACCAGAAACGGAGAAGAACCCATCGATTTGGTTCCTACCCATGAATCAAAACCGAGAAAGGAATCTCTTAACAAGGAAATTAACTCCAACCCGTTTGAAATCCTCAAAATCTCTCTAGAGGGTATTGAAAAGAAGGAAGAAATCAACGAATAATACCCATTTTCAGAGGCGGAAAATTCGAGGAACAGATATCATACGACACAGAGCCGTATGAACTTGAGTGGGGTTGGTAGCCAGGTTCTTCCGTAATGGAACTAAGATTTGATTGAAGGGATAATATTCGAATTCGAAGGGAGCAATGGAAAATCGCCAAAACCTAAAGGGGAAAGGAAGAGAGGTGGATGAGTCTCTCTTCGCCAACCCAACCAGTGCGGCCAAACGCAGGTTTTGAAGGAAATGTGTTAAGTGGAGGAATAATAGGCTGCTTTGTTTGCTTTATTCGTTCCCAAGCCTGCCCTCTGCCTTGGTTTATTTATTTATTTATTTATTTATTTATTTATTTATTTTTGCTCGACTTCAAAACAAGTAAAAATAAATATATTTTTAAACTTCTAATTTGCCTAAAAATTTTCATAATTATTTTTTTTAAAAAAATACCTTTAATTTTTTAATTATTTTAAAAATACCTTTCAATTTAAAAAATATTAACAAATATTTTTTAATTTTATAATGTTAGTTAATTCTCTCTAATTTCAATTAAAAAAAATACTTTTAACTTTTAGTATTAATATCTTTAATATTTATTTTTTAAAAAATTCTAACAATCAATATATGACAAAAACCGTCTATATCTATCCTATACCTCTCGAAGTTTGAGGGTATTAATAACACAGTATCAACTATTCAAAAGTGTGAATATGAATATTCTATTTTTATTGATATATAATTAATTAAATTTTGAGAATAAAATAAAATATATTACAAATAAAAAAAATATAAACTAACTAAATTTTGAAAATAAAATCATAAATGGAAGAATATTAACTTATTACTAATATCATATATGGTATAATTAATATATTCTCCAAATATAATTAACATTGGGACCAATTCAAATCAATAATAAGCACTAAATTTTGACGAAAAAAAATTAACTTTTTAAAAATTTAACTATAATAATGTTATTTTTTAAAGCCCTTCAATATTTTTTAAATATAGAACTAACAATATGCTTGAGAAGTAGTAAAGAGAAAAAGCTTCTCTATTCTCTACGAAAACTATTGAGTAAGTCGAATTGAAATTTTGTAGTGTTTACTGACACTGAAAATGATATCAGATATGTGTCTATCATCGTTTTTCTTTAACGATAGATATATCGGTTAAAGTTTTGAACAGTAATTTTCCAATTCAAATGAAATTTCATATCTCTAATGATGAGTAGCACTTACATTTTCTCAAACCTAAATGTGATAAAACCAAAATCAAATGCTCCTCTCTTCCACTTTCTATCATTATCCAACTATATAAGCTCACTACAAAATCCCAACTTTCTCATAAGTTCATACACGAACACGAACAAGCTTATCATGGCACTTCAGGCAACAATAATGGCTCTCCTCGTCGTCTTCTTCTTCAAGCACATTTCCATGGCTCGAGGAGACATTGGCATGGCCACAACCTATGGCCCTCCATATCTACGTAAGCAAATAATCAAATGATTTTAACGATAATTAAATGGTGATTAACATTTGAATGGGTGTTGTGTTGTAGCCACCCTATGTAATGGGAATCGCATCGATCAGTTCCCACCTGGCAACCTCTTTGTGGCCGTGAATGAAGGGCTATGGGACAACGGTGCTGCTTGCGGTCGACGTTATAGAATAAGATGTTTGAGCGGACGAAATCACCCATGCAAGACTGATATCATCGAAGTTCAGGTGGTGAACGTCTGCCCTAAGTCCCCGTGCCCCTCTTCCTTTCTCATGTCTAAAGAGGCCTTCAGAGCCATCTCTCGCCTACCCAATGCTAGACTCAACGTCGAATATATCGAGTACGTAATTTTCTCTCTTCTTTCACGTTGAGATTAGTTATACATAATTGATTTTGATTCATTTGTTGGTTTCTATACAGAATATAACATGTCGGGTTTTGCAAAGTACTTCAAAGCATAATTTCCTATGTAATATAGGAAAACCAAATATACATAAACGCGTCACATTTTGTAATGTTAACCATTAAAATGGCATTTAATAAAATATTTCAATTCAGATTTTGCACGTGATGACTTTGACATTCCCTTACGACAGTCATATTACTTACTTGTCGCGTCTAAGAGTGAACACTGCTATCATCACATACCAACACAAGTCATTTCAGCGTGTTCTATCGTTATTTAACATAGAAGTGTTACAAATAAAACAGACTTCGTTTTAGAATTTTTATAATAAAAAAATTAAAGACGATGTCGATACCAAGAACCTAGTTGAACTTAAGTTTATAGGCTATCATCCGACAAATATACAAAAATCTATCTGGGTATCGTATTGACAGATGGGCGCTATTAGACATTTTTTTTCAATACCTCGTTAAGGAGGGTAAAAAAAAATATCGATGTAAATCTTCGTTAGTGGAAGGTCAGATAAAAAAAGGGACATATGTTTGAACGGTTGAAAGAGTCGATCTTAAAAATTAGTATTGATAGGATTACCGAGAGTTCGAATCCCTCTCCTTCCATTAAAAAATACGACATTTAGGTTTATGGTAAATATTTGATAATCGATGATTTTGACGAGGACGGATAATGTTTTCATAAACTAAAATAACATGGTTTAAAAATTTAAAGCTTATTACGCGAATGAGTATAGTATTATGATTAAGAAAGATGGCTAATGTACACATAAAATAAAGTCAAAGTGTTACACTCTTTTAATGATCACGTGGACTCGGTCAAAGCATAATAGCAAGTGCAGATGTAGAACGAGGTCAACTCCATTATAAATTGCTTGAGTCAACCCGAAATTTGTGTGCAACTATAAGTAGTAGTGATGAGGATCGTGGAAGGTAACCTTCATTCCAACATTGAAAATGACAGGTTCTATTAGACTATATTTGTGAGATTTCACGTCGATTAGAGAGGAGAACGAAACATTCTTTATATGGATGTGAAAACCTCTTCTTAATAGACACGTTTTAAAATATGAGGCTGACGACGATACATAACGGGCCAAAATGAACAATAATTGATAGTGGTGGGCTCGAGCTGTTACAAAAAGTATCAGAGTCAGATACTAAACTATGTGTGAGCGAAGACGCTGGCCCCAGTAGCACGAAGTATTTCTTATAAAAATATGAAAACTTCTCCGTAACATATGCGTTTTAAAACCGTGAACCTAACAATAATACGTAACGGGCCAAATATTCGATAAGGAAAACAACCTAACATGCAACAAAATAAGGCCAATATAGGCCTGATTAGGGGCGGTTCGTGTGATGAACATTGTTGTCTCAAAACAGGCGGAACTCTGTTAAACCCACCGAAAGAGAGGCTCGAACCCACCGAATCAAGCTGTGCAGAAGAATTCATGCTTCCGCACTTGGCTAAATGCAATCTCAATTTGTATTGCGTGTAATCAACAATGCGACAGCTTCAAGATCCAACCCTCGTGCGGCGGAGCAGAACTGTTTAGCGCTGCTTCAGGCCTGTAATTTGCTACCGAAGCTCACCCAAATCCACGCTCACATCTTCAAATTGGGCCTCCACAACAACCCGCTCGTCCTCACCAAATTCGTCTCCATTTCCTCTGTTATCAATGCCACCGATTACGCTGCCTCCTTCTTGTTCTCTGCCGAAGCCGATACTCGGCTTTACGATGCGTTTCTATTCAATACTCTCATTAGAGCTTTTGCCCAAACTGGTCACTCGAAGGCTAGGGCACTGTCTTTGTATGGTATTATGCTTCACGATGGGATTTTGCCTAATAAATTCACTTACCCTTTTGTTTTGAAAGCTTGTGCTGGCCTTGAGGTTTTGAGTTTGGGTCAATCGGTTCATGGGTCGGTGGTGAAATTTGGGTTTGATCATGATGTTCATGTTCAGAATACTATGGTTCATATGTACTCTTGTTGCGCTGATGGGATAATTTTTGCCCGCAAGGTGTTCGATGAAATGCCCAAGTCAGATTCTGTGACTTGGAGTGCGATGATTGGAGGGTATGCTCGTGTGGGGCGCTCCACTGAAGCAGTGGCCTTATTTAGGGAGATGCAAATGGCGGAGGTTTTCCCGGATGAGATCACTATGGTCTCTGTTCTTTCTGCTTGTACTGATTTGGGTGCGCTTGAACTTGGGAAATGGATTGAAGCTTATATAGAGAGACAAGGAATTCAGAAACCAGTAGAGGTTAGCAATGCACTTATTGATATGTTTGCAAAGTGTGGCGATATTGGTAAAGCTTTGAAGTTATTTAGAGTTATGAGTGAAAAAACAATAGTTTCTTGGACTTCTGTGATTGTTGGCATGGCAATGCATGGCCGTGGCCAGGAGGCTATTTGTTTGTTTGAGGAGATGATAGGTTCGTCCGGTGTTGCTCCAGACGATGTCGCCTTTATCGGGTTGCTTTCTGCTTGCAGCCATTCGGGACTAGTCGAAAGAGGTAGAGAATATTTCAGTTCTATGATGAAGAAATACAAGCTTGTTCCTAAGATAGAACATTATGGATGCATGGTGGACATGTATTGCAGGACTGGACTTGTGAAGGAGGCTCTTGAGTTCGTTCATAACATGCCGATCGAGCCAAACACGGTGATTTTACGAACGCTAGTCAGTGCTTGCCGTGGTCATGGTGAATTCAAGCTTGGAGAAAAGATCACCAAACTGTTAATGAGACATGAGCCTATGCATGAGTCAAACTATGTTTTGCTTTCCAACATTTATGCAAAGATGTTCAATTGGGAGAAGAAGGCCAAAATTAGAGAAGTGATGGAAGTGAAAGGCATGAAAAAGGTTCCAGGGAGCACCATGATTGAGATAGATAATGAAATCTATGAATTTGTTGCTGGTGATAAATCTCATAAACAGTTCAAGGAAATTTACGCGATGGTGGATGAGATGGGGCGAGAGATGACGAAATCTGGATATCGACCTTCGACATCGGAAGTTTTGCTCGATATCAATGAAGAAGACAAAGAAGATACTTTGAATAGGCATAGTGAAAAACTGGCTATTGCATTTGGTCTTCTTAATACTCCACCTGGAACTCCGATTCGAATCGTAAAGAATTTGCGAGTTTGCACCGATTGCCACTCCGCTTCGAAGTTCATCTCTAAGATTTATGATCGTGAAATCATAATGAGGGACCGTAATCGGTTTCACCATTTCAAGGCTGGGCTGTGCTCGTGTGGAGATTTCTGGTGAAGTTAAAATAGCGCCACCAACATGTCTTCCAGAATCGATGTAACAGTCCAAGCACACCACTAACAGAATTCAGCCACGTTCAGTTGCTTTTGCTTGGAAGATTTCTTTGCGGCAACCAAAATAAGAAGCTAGCTTCTTCAGCTGACAGCTTGATCTCAAAGGCGATCGAACGAACAACTCGGTAACAGTCAACTTATCTTCAACTCCATTGTAGAAGATCTTTCAAGTAATCATAGTTTATGCTTAAAGACTCTAGAACTTGATTCTTCCAAGTTATGAACTTCTAAATTCAAATCTGAATTTTGCAGGCATGTCAAATTTCACTCTGTTTTGTTCAATCATTAAGGAAACTTCATCAAACACAGCACAGGATGCAGAGACTCTGAAATTATGAGAATCATTAAGGTGGGCTTAGCCAGGTAATTCCTGTTGAACATGAATAAGATAATTGATTTACTATCAAGTCCGGATTAAATGATATGAGCCTTCCCACCTCGGGTAACGTGAATAAACCATAAAGTCATATGAGCATAACTCAACCCTAATTAATAGGTAGCTTAAGAGTAGAACAACAATTATTGGAAGAAATTTAGGGTTAGATGCACAAAAATAAAAGCAAAGTTTGTGCGTTTGGTGAGTCTCCGGTGGAGATGCCAAAAGTAAATGCGCTGTCTTCAATCTCTTCTATGAATCGCTATCCAATTCCATTGAGTTCCCAAACAAGGTAGGTAAGCTTGTACCAACCCATGGAATTATCAAAATGCTTCCAATATTTATAGGAAGAAAAAAGTGTTTTTTTTTTATCTTAAAAAGGAGTTCTTTCTTTTTTTTTTTTGGATCGAATCCTAGAGAAGGTCCGGCTAGGAACGAGTTGAAACTGATGATTCGAAAACAAAGTTAGAGACTACAGCTTCTGAAACCAACACTTTTATGCTTGTTCTTCGTTTCCAGGCTGGTTAACCATAAGTTGTGAGACCGAGTTTACAAGGTGAAGGAGAAAAGTTGTGGGTCCTCCTTATGATGCTACTAACGGCTGTCCGAAGTGCAAGGGTAAACATGAACTCAAATAGGATAGGATTGTGCGCATAGAACCCTTCAAATCCAAATGAAGAGAGAGCTACTAGAACTGAAAAATCAGGTCGGATTTGAAGATGAATTGAAATTTTGGTGACGTTTAAATTAGCATTAAGTATTCTACCAAAATTTCAACGTGTTAATCTTTTGAAGCTCCAACAAATTTCTTTTCAATCCTTAATAATTAGAAGAAAGAAAAAAAACCCTTTTGGGACCTGACAATGAATAAGACCAGTTGAAAATAGCTCCATTTAAATGTCTTTACCAATAATTTTTTTTTAAATAAAAATTATAGGCTTTTGAAGTTTTGTCCATGGCCCATGCTATGCACCAACTTTAAATATTCTATTTTAGTAATTTTAATTTAATATTTAAAATCTTTATTAAGATAATAATTATATTTTTTTATTAATCATTTAACAAAAATCGAAATTAATTTTTCTATATAAAACAGAATAAAAGAAATATGTATTAATTCTGTTCATTTTAGCTTATATGTTATTAGTTTTAGTTTATTTTAATTCTCATATTTTAAAAATACATAAAATAAAATTTAAAAAATAATATATATTAAAAATTATAGACCATCAATTTCGAGCACTGAAGCAGTCAATGGTGACCGATGACAGACCAGCCATAAAACTACTTGATTTTCGGTCGTTTCATTTCATTGGTCTCTTAGGTTTGATTGGGGCCCACCCACTCCCAAACTCCTTGACTTTTAAACGTGTAGAAGACGAAAGTCAAATTCTGCCACCTCCCTTTCCTCGGTGATTTTATCATTCCCTCTCCTTTAACATTAAATGCTAATTACGTTTATAGCCATTGATTATAATTAAACTCAATTATTAACTTAAACAATAACCATTGACGTGAATGAATTTGTAACTCCTTAAAACGATGACGTTTCACGATGTTTTTGTCGCGAGACATAGATCCATAAACTTTGGCCTCCCAACCTCGAATTTCGTAATTATTTATAAAATAAATTCTTTAAGATAAAATTTTATTTCATAAAATATTTCTTTTTTATTTTTATTTTTATTTTAAATATTTTTAAGAATATAGATTTTGTCCTATTAAAGAGTCTAATTTTCACCACAAAATTCTTTGGATTTCTTATCCTCGAGGATAACAGACAATTTTCATTTTTATTTCCAATAATAATAATAATAATAATAAATTTCTTTTTAAATCGTATGATAATTCATAGGAAACATAAATATAAAAATTAAGATACAATATTACATAAACAACTGAGAAATCGAAATCACTGTTAATTCTGTGGATCACTACTCTTCCCTGTTCCCTCGCCGGCGTTCTTCTCTTCCAACAATTTTCCGGCCTCCTCATCAGCCGCCGCCGCCTTCTTCTGCAATTCCTTGGCCTTCAACGCCTGTAATTTCGAGTGATTATAATAAGCAACTCCCAAAAACGCAAGCCCATATCCAAACAAATTGATCGGCGTCACCGTATCCTTAATCACCGACCAAGAAAACGCAATCAGCAACCAATCCTTAACAACTCCGGCGACATTCATCGTCAACGCCGACGTCTTTCCGACGAGTAAAAACACAGCCAAATTCAACGCAAAAGCGCACAAAGAATTAGTCCCAAAAACCAAAAAGTCAAAATGAAAACTCGACGACTCCTTCAAAATTGGATACTCCACGAACACCCACGGCACCAAGAGGAAGACAAAACAACAGGGGGCAACATAATACAGAGAAGTAATCGGATTCAAAGAAATCCCTTTTGAGGTAAGCAAAATTTGAATCATAACAAGTCTTGTAGCCTCAAAAGCAACAGCACCCAATTGAAGAAAAACCCCCCAAGCATTGAATTGAGCTTCGCCGTAGGCAGCGACGGCGACCCCAAATGAAATTGACAGCATATTGAACAGAGTATCCGATTTGAACGGCTCTTTTTTGAAGAGGACGCCGATGGAGTAGACGGCGACGGGCATGAGGGCTTTGAGCATTTGGATGAAGGAAACGGAGAGGTAAATGTAGGCGGAGTTGGAGAGCCAGAGGGAGAAGGCGTAGAGGGCGCCGATGGGAAGAACAGAGGAGAGGTAGAGATCTCTGGACATGGAAACGGGCTCGACGAGCTTGAAGATGCGGATTATGATGAAGGCGAGGGAGGCGCAGAAGGCCATGTGGATCATGGTTAGGGAGATTGGGAATGGCCAATTGTAGAGCTTTTTGTCGAGGATGAATTTGTTGTACACGATTACAGTGAAGCTCAGGAAGATCCATATGGCGACGTAGGCGTAGGAGAGTAGGATTTTTTTGACGACGCCTTCGCTTAGAGCACCGCCTTTCCCCATCTTTGCCGGAGATGGAAGGTGGGAGGTGGCGGAGAGCGCGACGGTGGAAAACAGGGGAAGGAGGGAGGCGGCGGAGAGTGCGACGGTGGAGAACAGGGGAGGGGATTTGTGGGCATTGGGTGGAGACTTTTAATGAATATATAAGGAAATAAAATAATAACAGATATACGGTTGAATCTCGTGGTTTGGTTATTAGTTTTAATTTTGATTAAATCAATAACTAATTGATGATAAATATATATATATATAAATGTTTTGGGCTTTCATATCATTCCATGGGCGGCCCAAATAATTTAAATATTTATTTTTCTATATTTAATAATAAGGGGTTTTTCCCTTTTATATACAAATAACCATAATTAATTTAAAAAAAAAACCAATTTCAGTTCATACATGTATTTTGTGGGTAAATAAGAAAATTAAATTTAAAAATAATTAAGTGAATGAAAAATGGGGGAAAAATGATTTTTGGTGGATAAAATATTATTTTTTAAAAAAAATTAAGAAGAAAAATAAAATTAGCTTACATTGGCTCGGTTGGTCAAGGATAGCCTCGAACAACTATATCTGAGGCATGTTTGAAGCATCTGCCTCGAGTGCTATGTATTCTTCAGGTGGCATTATGATCTTCATAATTTGTTCCTTTAAGAATAAACTTTTTTTTTTTTTTTTTAATACGAGATTTGTCTCTTTCATAACCTTTACTATTTGAGCTTTTCTTTTTATGGGATCTCAAACACGTTTCTCTTATGTAGTCTTTATAGGAGGGACTCGATTGTGTAACCGCTCTATGATTCACACTAAGTTTTTATCTATTATGTTCATCCTTTTCTCGAGGTTAAGGAGGTGTAACTTCCCGCGTTCTTCACGAGTGATGATCTGTAGCTAAATTGTCGCTATCTTGAAGTCAACGGTTTCTTAATATGCATGACCACCTTGGAACTTGATGAACATGTTTCGAGCAAATTTAGAACTATATTTAATTATTATTTCAGTTTATAAAACATTAAGCTCGTGAACTAGCATTTGTTAGTTTTCCTTTAATTATTACGTCCGGTTTTATCTGCTACAAGAATAATTGCTATGTATTATTATTAATTATTAATTTAGTTAACCAGTCAACAACAGCGTTTGTAGTCCAACGGTTAGGATAATTGCCTTCCAAGCAATAGACCCGGGTTCGACTCCCGGCAAACGCATATTTTTTTTGGAGATTTTTAGGGTTTTGTTATCCATTTTAACAAAGATAAACAGAGTCCTAATTTTGGCAGCAATAGTCATAAACAAGTAAGTTGTTTTTTTTTTATTTCACTGCCAAAAAAGAAAAGGTGATAATAATTTTCATTTTCGAAATTATAGTGACTATTTACACAATTTTATAGGACAAAATATTGAATTTTTAAAGTCATAAAAAATTATATACTAATTTTCTCATAAACAAGGCAAAAACTCAACCGAGAGACATAAGTGTGTAGCATTGTGGTAAATCAAGCCGACAAGAAACACAACAAAAACAAAACAAAAAAACACGAAGAAATTCGTCAAAATAGTTGAAATTAAAGTACAAAGTTCGGATTTTTATTACAAACCCACGAAGATCTTCGGTTTTTCCGAAATGGGTTCTTCACTTTCCGGTCAATAATTCCGATCTCCGTTCATATTTCCGAGCCCAAATATGCTTACCATTAGTACGAAACTTAGCAATTCGCTTCCCGTCGAGGATCCGATCCACCGCCACCACCGAACTCATCACCATTCGAGCGTACAGCGGCTGCTCGCCGACCGGAACTAACTCCATCTGAATACCCACAACGCAATCCCCAAACGCCTCTGTAAAAACCCCCTTTATTTCCTCCGTCGTCACTGGAAACCCCCGCGAAAATGTCAGAAACAGAGTCCGGTCGTCCTCCACTATGCCGCCGTCCGACATTCGCCACTCCCATAACCGACCGGTCGGAAAAGTATGGTCCAAGCATTTGGGAACAATTCTGATCGAACCAAAAACCGGATGTGGAAACCCATTAATCACTAAAGCTGCATCTGATTGAGAATCGGTTCTTCCCAACACAGTCTCCAAAATGTCGGTAAAAACCCGAGAACAGACATTGGTGAGAAAGTACTTGACTCCACTGATTGCTCTGAACCGGTTTCGTATGAACAACACAATTGAGATTTCTGTTCCGGCCACCAAGGAGGTGGCCGGAAAGACAGGCGGAAGGAGAGTGGGGCGGGGCCCACCACCGTGTCGGGAATCGAAATCGAGGGAGTTGAGACAGAAAAGAGCTTCATTAGCTAAGGAATTGATGAAGTGGTCGGGGAAAGGGATGATTTTGAAAATGAAATTGGTGAAGCCCTGTTCTTCGAGCCATAGCCAAAGGGAAATGATTAGAAGAGACTGGGCTGGGTCTAGTGAGAGGTTGATCAGCAAACGGGAGAATAGCTCTCTATCAATGGCGTGGTAGAGGTGAAGCTCTTCTAAGCTTATGGAAGCCATTTTAATGGCGGATTTTGAAATGGATGAAACAGGGGAAAACAGAGGACTTTGAGTTTATTTTTTTTTCTTTTGTAGAGGGGATGGGAAAATGTTTTTATTAATTAATTAATTTATTTATTAATTTATTTATTATTATTGTTATAATTATTATTTGGGTAATTTGGCAGTTGAAAAGCTTTAATGGGTGAAGTTTTAGATTAACCAATTTGAGGACTGAGCCAACTGAGGAAATGAAGAAGCAGAAAGGTGCTTCTTTTCCATCTTTGGTTTTGTTTATTTATTTATTTATTTATTTTTATAGTATTTAATTAACTAAATCAAATGTTTCAAAAAATACTTAAAACTTTTATAGATAGAAAGAGCAACTGTTCTATAGCTATTCAAGGGTACTTTAGTGAAAATCGATAAGATTGGAGGTGGTGGTGTTGCTCATTATAATTTATGTGAGATCCCACAATTGGGGAGGAGAATGAAACATTTTTTTATAAGGGTGTGGAAACCTCTCCCTAGTAGACACGTTTTAAAAACCTTGAGGAAAAATTTGAGAGAGAGAGGCTAAAGAGGACAATATTTTCTAACGATGAGTTTTGGCTGTTACAAATGGTATTAGAGTCCGACACCGAACGATGTGCAAGGACGCTAGGCCCTGAAGGGGAGTGGAATAAGAGGTCTCATATCGATTGGAGAAGGGAAAGGTGTGGAAACCTATCACGAGTAGAGGAGGACGCTGGGCCCTGAAGGGGAGTGGAACAAGGGGTCCCACATCGATTGGAGAAAAGAAAGGTGTGGAAACCAATGACGAGTAGGAGAGGATGTTGGGCCCTGAAGGGGAGTGGAATAAGAGGTCCTACATAAGGGTGTGGATAGGTGAATTTCAAAACCCTCACATTTTTTTAATTAGGAAAGAATTTTAATTTCAATTTTTTGTACTTTAGCTAGACATAATTATTTCAATTATTTTTATATTAATGTTTAAAATTTATTCTACTATAAATTATTTTAAATTGCTAAATGAGAAATATGAACATGTAGAAGGATAAGAGTATAAATTTTAAATTTTGATTTAAAGACCCTATAAATAATTAATTTTACCAAATAAGTAAATCAGTTTAAAAAAAATTGACCATGGTAAAAAAGCAATCTCAAAACCAACTTACACCCTTCATCTTCCCTAAATACTAAATTACAGAGAGATTTCTTACCTCTTCAAGAGCAAGCCCTGCAAGAGAAATAAACATCTAATCATATGAGAATAGACTCGAACACCAGACGCGATTTCTCGAGAACGAACTAAAAACTACTAACAAAGATCATAATAAGAACCAATTGAAAGCTTAAATGTGGCTAAAAATAACAGGTAAACCTAACACAATGTAATTAAAAAGCATCTCATTTCAATAATAGCTTCATTTCCGTGTAGTACTAAAAACAATAGAAAAATGGACATCTAAACATCTGGCAATAGGCACTAACAAAAGAGAACATAAGGAGGAGTCTCATAAAAATCACTGCAAACACTACCAACAACAGTCTACCGTAATTGTTCTGTCTTGCATAGAGAGAAAGGGGGTATCTAAAATATTACAATTCGATCATTCGTGGTTCAGAATAAAATTCATAAAGAGACTTCCCATGCAAGACAGCCCCAGCAATTAGAATACAATAAACTCAAATGGCAGCGGCGTGTACCACCACCACCACATCAAGAGCACATTACCCTCTCGCATCCAAGCCTAGTGCAGTGGCTTCCATCCATTTCGAGTCTGATTTGGATTCGAACCACAATGACATGTGAACCACAAAGGCAACCCAGGTAGCTGATATTCTACGCTGAAGATGTCTACATCTATGATGGCACTGCAACCAACAAAAGTAAAATATTGGCACAACTACTCATAAGCAGAGGATAAATAATACACCTCCACCACATCCTTAAAAACTTGGATAGCAAAATTAACATGTTTCTTTCAACCGTCACTAAATGAGCAAAAATTTACCATAACAGCTAGTAAGAATTCAGTTTAAACAGATGGTAAAAAGGGAAATATAAATGATAATCAGGCTGAAGGGTAAACTACAAAAGAAAATGGAGTTCAGAAAGGAAAATTATCACATAAAAAAAAAAAAGGAAACAAGAGAACATACTGTATGTGGATGTATCAATCTGCTCTGGAAGCTCCTTAATATCTACTTCGAACCTTTCTTGGACCTGCAATGCTGAAGACTAAGAAAATGCCATCTAATGGTCACAGTAAGTAATAATTAAAAGTTACATACATTGTTGAGAACATCAGAATCAGCTGCAGATGATACAAAAGTAATTGCAAGCCCTTTGGTGCCAAATCTACCAGCTCTGCCAACCTGTAAGATTTTTGAAGGAAGATATATACACACTTTGGGAGCCCTAGATGGTATAATGAGAATCGAAATACATAGGAATGATCCACGTTACCCTGTGCAGGTAAGTATCAGCAGAATCTGGCATGTCATAATTGATGACAATGTTTACACGTTCAATATCAATTCCTCGACCAACCAAATCTGTTGCCACAAGAATCCGCTTATGTCCTTCCTTGAAACCCTTGTATCGAGTCAACCTGGCACATCATCTTTCCATATTAGTTATATTTGATCTCAAGAAAAATCAATCAACTTCAGAAGTAAATGGGCAATTTTGCAACTTCCTACCAAATAACGTTAATGCAGGAAAATAGTTCTACATCTAGAGAAAGGAAGATACTGAAGTCACTATACCATAACTACCCAAAAAAAGAAGGTCGAAGTCTAGAATGCCCATAAGCAGCAACATTAATAAGGAAAATCAATACACTTGGGCACAATTGAGTACGGAAATTTTGAATGTGTAATACAACATCAGACCTACCTCTCTTCCTGAGACATGCCAGAATGGATACATATAGATGGAAAATTACACTCCACCAATAACTTATCCAGCTCAGCTGCCCTACTAACACTTTTAACAAAAATAACCACTTGATTAAAGTCCAATGCATCAAGGAGGTCGTTCAACTTCCGATTTTTCTCCATCTCGCTCAGTTTGATGTAGTGCTGACATTCCAAAAACAAACTTTTAAGGGAAAAAAAAAAAAAAAAACCTCAATCTATCCACAGTAACACAATGTTAACAACTATGTACCTGGACAAGACCATGTAATGTCAACTTCGCCTCGTCATCGACATATATTTCCATTGGCTGAAAGGAACAAACGTCACAGTAAATCATAATACTTCCTCAAGATGAAGGAAATGAAAGAGCATGTTCATCCCATGAACCAAGATTGTGGTCCAACTGATCTGCCTCCCCTTTGCAGATACGTCTATGGTCACCAAGAAATACCGCAGACTCGGACTATTACACTAGTACAATAGGATACCCCAGAGCACACAGTTGGAAGTTGGAACCAGAATCCACTAAGAGAATAACAAGTGACACACAATGGGAGAGGAAAAGGGAAGAAGTGGGTGACTTCAACACCAACTACTACTTCAGAACCTCTAAAACAGTATCACCAACATATTCCCCCAATATACTAGTAAATTCCCAAAAAGGCTGTAGGTGATGGAAGATAAAAGATGTACATAAAAAAGAGATCCCTCTAGAACGACAAGAAAGTAGGAAACCCAACAGTAGAAACCACAATTTGCAAAACTCTAAGAGAAAGTGAATTTAAAGGGAAAAAACTTCTAAATTGAAGGTTTACTAGCTGTGGGACATTACATCTTGCATAAACTTCTTGCAAACTGGGCGGATTTCTTTGCTGAGTGTCGCCGAAAACATCATAACTTGTTTGTCATGAGGAGTCATCTTGAAGATTTCCTGTACATCCCTCCGCATATCTGCAGTGTACATGAAGAGAGCATAATAAGAAGATATGCCAATGCCAAATAATACATATATTAAAACAAAGTCCATGAGACAACTAAAAGGACCCAATGGAAAACAAATATGAAACTTGGAAGAACATAATATATGGTGGAGAATCTAGTAATACTTCAAAGGACAAATGATTTTCAAAGAAAATATACCAAGTGACTCAAGCATCTTGTCACATTCATCCAAGATAAAATGCCGCACGTTCTTCAGGGAAAGGTCCTTATCTCTTGTCAATGCCAATATCCTTCCGGGTGTTCCAACAACAATATGAGGGCATTCGTTCTTCAGAAGATCTTTGTGAATTTTAATATTCACCCCACCATAGAAAACTGCAACTTTCAGATCGGGAAGATAAGTGCTGAACCTTTCGAACTCATGACAGATCTAAAAAGGTATAAAAGAATGTTAGGGGCTAGGCATACATATAATGCAAAAAAATAGTTCTATACGTGCTTTAAGAGCAGTCGTATTTAAAGATAAGCAGTACACTAACACACCTGGTACGCAAGCTCCCTAGTATGGCACAGAACTAGGGCAGAAACTTGACCAGCAACAGGGTCAATCTGCTGCAGTGTTGACAGAACAAAAACAGCAGTTTTACCCATACCAGATTTAGCTTGACAAATAACATCCATGCCGAGGATAGCTTGGGGAATACATTCGTGTTGCACTGATGAAGAACCAAAGAAAAGGATCGAACCAAATGAACTGTTGGTAAGTAAATTATAACGTCTCCGATCCTTTATGTGAAAGGTTTATCAAACCATATATATTGCTCCGAAATCAAGATTATGATATTAATTTATTACCTGCAAAACATAAAACAACAGATATAAACATCTAAGATGGGCTGGTAACAAAAAGCAATTAAGGGATGATAACTTTTTTTTTGTGTGTGTGTGATGAGAACAAGTGGAAATAGCATAATCTAAAAAGACATTGGTTCCAAATTGATGTGCAAGTGTGATCTCATCCATGAATTATACTGTCCAAAAATGGTGTCAAGATATTTCTCACTATTTGAAACACAATAGCATACTTTAAGCAGTGTTTGGATGATAAAATTATTGGAAATTGTGTTTATTTAGACTGACATTAAATAGCACCTTAGGTTGAGAAGTACAAGTGTTCTCAAGGCAACAAAATTTTAAGGTAATGAACATAGAGAAATAAGTGAACTACTGTATTATAGGTCAAAAAGATCAAGTTTATAGAAAATTTAAGAGTAATTGTGCCAATTTTAATTACATGTTCACTTCCACTTTGGTTTAAGATTCAACAATTGAAATTTTTTTTAAAAAAAATAGAAATTTGCCTTCAGATGGATGCTCAAATCCCGAGTCCACAATAGCACGGAGAAGCTCCGGCTTCAATAGGAAGTCTCTGAATCCCGAACTGTGAATTCCAACATAACCCCTGAGAACGAAGACAGTGAAAGAAGGTAAGGATCTATAACAAAAACAACAACAAAAAGAGCGACATTCCATTCCATGGGGAAAAAACCAACACATCGATATAAAATCATATTCTGCACGAAAGACGTAGTAGGAAGAATAAATCATCGTTTTTTAGTTCACTGCAAGCTCAAACAACTACATATTCCAACCGCTCTAACTCCAAACTAAACCAGACGAACAGAATTACTTCCAAATCTAAAATTTCCTCAAAACACGCATCCAAGAGACCGTAGGGAACTATTCGACCCATCATTTCTAAATCCATATGCAAGCCTTAAAATAAAAAGATTAGAAATGGTGCGCAAGAAGACTACTCACTTCTTTCCAGCTTCACCGTTGACTTTAGCTCCAACGGAATCGGGTGCCTTCTCTTCCTCTTCCTCATAGTCGAGGAGCTCTTCCTCATATTCGTTGTCTCTTGTTTCTCCCATTTCTTCCTAAACATAAAACCAGAGAACGAATTCAATTTCATTCCAAGTTCACGAAAAACCAAATCCAACCCAACAATGAAACTAGGGTTTAAAACAGTAAGAACGAGAGATTAGTGCTTTCTAACAGAGAGATTGAAATTACCTGTTAGCCTGCTAAGAACTCAACTTAAGAGTTAGGGTTGCGATTTCACAAAGTCTGCAAAGGAAAACTAAAAGTGTTAAGACCTGCCTCTCGAGGAATCGCAGATCGCAGTGTGAAAGAGCGGAGAGAGTAATTAGGGTTTCAAAAGAACTTGAGAACGGTTATAAAGGCGGAATTCTACTTCATATTGCCCAAAATACCCCTGCCCCATGCCTCTATTTACTGTGTCTTATGCGATAACTTCACCGCTTTATCTGATATTTTGGGGGTAAAAGTGAAATATTGAGATAAATGTGATATTTCCAAAATATTGTTATTAATTCGCGAATGTTTGGTCTAAATTTACAAATTTTAAATTTCAAGCATTCGTTTATGCTGATTTTTTTTTTTTTCATTTTCCATTTTCATCAATTATTTGGTTTATATTGCTAGAAGCATTAAAAAATATATATATATATAGTTTCAAATTTTCCTAATATAAAATGTTTTTATAATTAAATCAATTTTATACAAATATATATATAATTAATTTAAAACGTTTGTTCTTATATGTATTCACGTCTGATTCATTACATAACAATGTCTTGTGTTTTACATATAAGATAATTTGTTTATTGATGTCTCGTGTTCTATTGATGTCTTCTTCTTATACACATAAACACTCGAGACGCAGTTAAACTAGGAACAAAAATAGATGTTTTCTTTCAGTCTTTTCACCTGTTGTTGGCTACTTAATTGTTTATCGTGCATTCGCTTCAAAGATTTTTATCTCAGTGGATCGATCAATAACCAAGTATGAAAATAAAAAATTTGAGATTCATACCCATTTGAATTACATGTTAGGAACCACAAACATCCCCAATTATATGATATTATCCACTTTTAGCCTAAATTATTATAGAGATTTAATTGGACACGAATGCACAGTCATTGGGTCTCTAGAGGTCAATGGATGATGTGATGGGGGCTTTTCAACCTCGTCACTTAGGCATCTGGTGAGCTTGCAAGAGCTCAAATCCATGGCCTCCGAGTGGCCCCTGGCACCAAGGCCAAAGACTGCGTCCAGTTCGTGAACAAGCTCGCTCAACACCTTCAATGGCGATCTTCCTGGTCGTAGGCCCCCACGAATCGGTTTGGGCGCAGCCAAAATCTCAAACTTTTCCCCGACATAAAGGCTCGTGTTCTTGGCCAATAGGTCAAGAATCTACCTCCAATTCTTACCACTTTACGACATGTCGGCTGAACGGGATTGATGTGTCGGTAGATTTCATGATTCACGATAAACTCTCGGAACAAATAGGGAAATTTCGCAATTGGGTCATTATATAAAATCAATAGACCATTTTAAAAGGCGGAATATATTCTCAACTTTTAAAATATTTCGACTAAAAAGCCCGTCTGGATTTTATTCGAAGGCTCCTCACTTTCGACGTCACAAGGCAAAGCCGTTGGCTATCAGGGTTTCGGCGGCGCCTTCGCTTTATTGCTCACTGGCCTTCCTTGGTGCGCTTAGGCCTCTCTCCACCGCGATTTAGTGCTTTTCTTTGGCTGGAGACGCGTAAATAGGTCGAATGAGGTGAGTTTCTTGTGTATTTGCTTGTCTTCTCCATTCTCAATGATCATTTAGAGAAACCCCTCTTGGTCAGTGATTGCTCGGAGTAGGGTTTATTGGTCACTTTTTGGTTCTTCCCTTGGCTTGTAGGGTAAACAATTAGAAACATTAGCTTTTTCGTGTATGGTTTTAAGGGTATTTTACTTTGGTTTTGGAATCTTTAATAGTTGTATTTTTCTTCTTCATCAAGCAAAGTTGAGAGCTCGTTGGTTGGGGGTTTTTAGCCTCAAATACTTTGATCAAGTTATGGGAAGTTGTTTACGCAGAGAAAGTATGTATTCTAGGTGTTGTCTACTCAGCCGCTTAGAGGGTTGTTCTAGCAAACCCTGTTGCTCGTTTTTACAGTTTTCTGGGAAATATCTGCGGGCTCTTATAGTTTTGGTGGTGGATAATCTCAAGCTTCTTTTTCATGTAAGGATCCTTAATTTATGGCTTGGATTAGATATGAATCAGTTTATCTTCAAAGTCTCTGTGTATTCTGATTTCCTTCTCCCAGATATGTATAAGTTTCTTGGGGATTTAGCTTCTGCTTCTTCTTTAATTACACTTCTTTGGAGGATTGGGTGACCAGGTTGAGTAAGAGGATCAGGGAGATGAGTAATGGCTAACAAAAATAAGGAGAATGAGTACAATTCCACTGACATCTACGGCCAAGATGTAGCTAGGATAATGTAGCTGATTGCTTATAAGGGGGTGGAAATCTCTCCCTAACAGACGCGTTTTAAAACTGTGAGGTTGACGGTAATATGTAACGGGCCAAAGTGGATAATATCTGCTAGCGGTGGGCTTGGGCTGTTACCAATGGTATTAGAGTTAGGTATCAAACGGTGTGCCAACGTGGACGTTGGGCCTCCAAGAGGGTGAATTATGAGAACCCACATCAGTTTGAGAGGGGAACGAAGCATTCCTGGAAATCTCTCCCTAGCATATGCGTTTTAAAACCGTGAGATTGGCGGTGATATGTAACGGACCAAAGCGAACAATATATGCTAGCGATAGGCTTGGGCTATTACAAGTGGTATTAGAGTCGAGCACTGGGCGGTGTGCTAGCGAGGACGTTAGGCCCCCAAGGGGGGGTGGATTGTAAGATCCCACATCAGTTGGGGAGGGGAACAAAGCATTCCTTACAAGGGTGTGGAATTCTTTCCCTAGTAGACGAGTTTCAAAACTGTGAGGCTAACGGCAATTTGTAATGGTCTAAAGCGGACAATATCTGCTAGCGATGAGCTTGACTCTGATACGAGTCAAGCATTGGGTGGTGTGCTAGCGAGGACACTGGCTCCCAAGGGGGGTGGATTATGAGATCCCACAGCAGGTGGAGAGGGGAACAAAGCATTCCTTATAAGGGTGTGAATCTCTCCTTAGTAGACGCGTTTTAAAGACTGTGAGGCTGATGGCGATACGTAACAGGCCAAAATGGACAAAATATCTACTAATGGTGAGCTTGGGATAGGGCTAGGGCTGTTACATAATTATTTGATAATGATATTGTTTTCTATTTTCTTATAATATGCCATAGTATTGATGCAAACTAGAAGCATAGCTATAGAAACCCTTGTACAGAAGGGAATTGATCACTTTATGAACTAAACATGGCTTGTACAGAGAAGAAGCTGTCGTGGACGCTGCACTGGACCTGCATTAGGTGATGCAATGGACGGGCCGTCTACTGGTCTGAGAGTCGACGACCAAGAAGCTAAGAAACAATGCTTACCCAAAAATTTCGCGAGCTCTAGCACGTGTGAAATGGACAACAGTACAGTTTGGTCTCAAAGAAGCATGGCATCAGCTCAGTCGCATGATTCCCATAACAATGTTGGGAGCAGTACAGAGTTTGTAAATTCTGGTAAGTGTGCCTGCCTTGGATCTGCACTGTCTATTCCTTGAACTTTGGCTGTAATCTGTTTGTGGGTAAGGCTCTATTTTTGCTTGTTGTCTGGGTTTTCGTTGAGAATTCTTGGGAGGGAGTCCCATATTAGCTAATTAAGGAGTTGATCGTGGGTTTATAAGCAAGGAATAAATCTCTATTGGTACTAGGACTTTTGGGAAAACCAAAAGCAAAGCCATGAAAGCTTATGCTCAAAGTGGACAATATCATACTATTATGGAGATTTGTGATTCCTAATATGGTATTAGAGTCATGCCTATGCCCTTAACTTAGGCATGTCAATAGAATCCTCAAATGTCAAACAGAGAAGTCGTGAGCCTTGAAGATGTAATCAAAAGTGACTCAAGTGTCGAACAGGGGGTGTACTTTGTTCGAGCGCTCTAGAGAAGTCGAGGCTTGATTGAGGAGAGGTTGTTCGAGGGCTCCATATGCCTTAGAGGAGGCTCTATGGTGTACTTTGTTCGAGAGGAGAATTGTTGGGAGAGGTGTTCCACATCGGCTAATTAAGGGGGGTATATCATGAGTTTATAAGTAAGGAATACGTCTCCATTGGTATGAGGCCTTTTGGGAAACCAAAGGGAAAGCCATGAGAGCTTATGCTCAAAGTGGACAATATCATACCATTGTGGAGATCCATGATTCCTAACATGGTATTAGAGTCATGCCCTTAACTTAGCTATGTCAATAGAATCCTCAAATGTCGAACAAAGAAGTTGTGAGATTCGAAGATGTAGTAAAAAATGACTCAATTGTCGAACAAAGTGTGTACTTTGTTCGAGGGCTCCAGAGAAGGGGTTGAGCCCACGGCCACTATGATTCCGAATGTTGTGCCTCAACTGCTCTGTTGTTCCGGGTTCTGGGGTAGATATGAAGGCTTGAATGCTTTTGGGGCTTATTTTTATCTGATAAAATTTTGGTTACTAAAAGTAAAACAAAATTCATCATCTGTTCCAATCCTAGCTTTCTGAGTTTAAGCTAACCTGAATAAGCATCAACGATTTCAGGACTACTTCTTTGGAACGAAACCCGGAAGCAATGGGTTGGAAATAAAACGTCCGAGAGCCAAAAGCGAGTTCGAGAACCCAAAATAAGGTAAATGATAAACGTTTAACATAACACAATGCACGAACACAGAACTTGCTGTTGACAAAAATTATGCGCTGAATTCTTAATCTTCTGCAGTTGGAACGCTACTTACGACAGCTTACTTACGACGAACAAGCCGTTCCCGGAGGCCATACCTCTAGCTGTAAGTTATCAGCCACCTTCACTTGTTATCTACTGTATTTCGTTGTCGAACCCGAATATGACTGTTCTTTTGTATATGAAATGCCAGGAGATGATAGAGTTTCTTGTTGATGTCTGGGAGCAGGAGGGCCTGTATGACTGAGCCTGCTATTCAAGGGAGTCTCCTATTGCTTAAACTCATGCAGCTCGATTTTTTTCGCTGCCGACCCATATCGTCGATCATGAACGATCGCTCACTGCTAATACTATACGAATGTTAGTGTTTATGTTGAATTTGAGCTACTCGTTATGGATTCTTTTCAAGAATGGGATCGTTTTGAAAGTATAGTCTTTTATGTCGAACTTCTGCTACAACTTTTAAAGGAACAAAAACTTTATAGTTTAGACGTCTTGAC